TTCTGCTTCTAAGTATGTGTCAAATTTTTATTAATAAAGATTCAGACTGAATCACCCAAAAAGCTTTTCTCTGATGGTGGCACTGGCTATGTGACCTTGGACAGGGCCTTAATACCTCCAAGCCTTTCCTCACGTCTGAAAAAAGACAAAGCATATGCCACCCACCTTCCCAGTTGAAATCTGAACTATGAGTTACACACGCAGCAGTGGGACTGAGTAGGAATCCACCTTATTTTTCCCTAGGTCAGAGTGGACAAGATGCAGTGTCCAAGTTACAGTCCTTAATTAGACAGCTTCTTTTCTCAGATTACTGATGACTGAGGGAAAAAATGGGACATAATGCAAGCCCCAATACAGTCTAAGTTTGGTGGTGGTGTTTTTGTTTTATTTTTTATTTTTTGTTTATATCCTCTCCTTAGTGTTTTATAGATTTCCTCTATTCCTCTTTTTAATCTAGTCTCCTATTACTTTATGCCTTTGTCTTTCTATAACATGTCCTTCTAAAGTCTACAGTAATGGAAATTAATCCCACCAAGCTTTCTCCTGAAAGGTAAAACTACAAACATTCTATTTTATAAAGGTGCATGGGGGGAGGGGGAGCTTAAAAACACAATGCCTGGACCATGTCGTTATCCCCTCTCCCACTTTCTTTCTCCAGTGGCTTCTCCAACTTTCTCCCACACAAGAAACGCCGAAGGGTTAAACATATAAAAGGCACACTCTTTTCAGACTGATACTCCTTTGAGACAGGGGAAAAAAAACAAAAAAAACAAAAAACACCAAATCACACAGGTCACACAAGATCCTGGAACAGAACCTTAACCATTAAGTCTTGATGTACAAAGTGAAGTGGCAAACAGAAGTAATCATTCTGTTAATTCAGGCTAAAAACCCACTTTCACCTGTAACACCCAACTAATGAGGTAAAAGTGCTTTCTTGGCCTGAATCACATACTTCAATTTTTACAGAAAAACAGCCTTAGCCTAATTCTCTATTGCTAAACCTTTACTGCCAACAGAAAATAATTGGAGATGAGAAGAAATGCAACGTATGATGTTTTAGTCATCCGCGTAGAATAAACACCAAAATACAGCTGAGGCAGAATGAACAGGCATTGCCTTAGATGCGACTAATGAACAGATCATTATGAAAACCCTTAAACAAAAACAAAGAATTCACACAGCGGGGGAACACAGTATGTACACTCACAGAAAAGCAGTTAGCTTGAAAAATAACTAAATGTAAGTTTAGAAAAATAAAATGCACCAGCTATACTTACACTAGCAAAAATTACAAAAGTTATAAAGTTCAATACTAGTGGATTGTGTGAGAGCAAACACGGCATTTTAACGTGGTACACTGTTTCTGGAGATTAATCTGGCAGTGTACAATTCGCTAAAAATGATCATACTCTGATGATGCACACAGCATTTTGGGGAAGAGGATCCAATGAAATAATAAAAGCACCACCACTCTGTAGGAAAAAAATGTACTTATGCTCTATTTTACAAAAAAAAAAAAATGGCAAATCCTTCTATTGCATTTGGGATAAAAAAGAAGATACGTGATATACACTGAAAGGACTAATGAAGTAATAAAGTTTGCACAATAATACCAATTTGGGAGGGGCCGTGGAGCTTATCAGTAGTTGGTGACAGTGAATTTTGCTATTTCTATTGAAACTGGTCTCGATTTGGGGATCCATGATTTGCTAGAAGGTATCAGAGGTGTGCAGACATCTGGGGGTAATAAGACTAACTTCTCAACCTCAAATTCCTAGCAAGTTTTGGGTAAAGTGGCCTCCATAGCTCTCAATCATTATCCTCACATCAGCCACTCAGTTGAGAATGTATAGTGATGTGAGGAATGTAATGACTTCGCTTCAGGAGCTGGTACCACTAGCAACTGGGCAGCTCCTGGCAGCATGTGGAAACGTCTGCTCTGTCACCATTTTGGAGCCAACCAACTTTTACCCCTTTGCCCTCAGGAGGCATGAGCCCTGGAAGGTTCCACCACCCCAGAAAATGCTTCCTTGGCTTCACTTATGTTGTTTCAAGGGATGAGAGAAATGGTATGAAGCACCCCAGAAGATGGCGAGAAAGCCCCCAGTCAGGAAAGAGAGGTAGGAGCCTTATTTCGGCGGGGGGGGGGGGGCCTCTTGAGACAGCTAAATGTGGGCCTTCCAACCTACCACTAAGGTCAAGAGTAGATAATGGTCCATGTTTCTGGGGCTTCATTTTGGACACATGGAGTTACTAGGTAGCCAAATGACAAGCAGGTGCCCTGAACCCTTACCTCAACAGCCCTAGAATACACACCGTTCTGACTTCTCCTCATCAAATAAACTTGATTCTTGGGCTCCCACAGTGCTTTCTCCTTTAGGTCCATATTTACTTTCTCTACCCTTGTTGAAAAACTTCAGATACAGGTCTGTAAATAAAAGGCTTAGGAATGAACTTGGCTACTGGAGCTATAGAAAACAAGATCAATAAAGCCAATAGCATGTGGTTTAGTGGCCAGAGAAGGTCCAAGAAGAGAAAGGAAAGGAAGAAAAAGCCCTAACACTTTAACAATTGAATTTCTCTCATTTTACTTGACACCTAAAAAGGTAAAGCACCTTAATTACCTGAATCTTTACAGTAAGTTTAAATTATATTTTATGAGCTATTCTGAAATCTGCCCTGTTTAATAATCTGTAACGTCAAGAAAACATTTTAAGTGTCTCTCACAATTAAACCCATCCACAGCCTTGTATAAATCAAAATTTTGCTACCATATCAAAATGTTACACTGGGGCTGTATAACATTGCCCACATCCTCATTACATGCAACACTAATTACTACCAGCAGATTCAGAATTTTCTGCACATTAGAGGCTTTTAGAGGAGCTATAAAAAATTTCAGGCACCATTAATTTAAATTTGTATTGAAATTTCCTTTTGACAGATGGCCAAAAATTACTTATTATTTAGAGTACCAGAGCTGCCTGTTTGCACATTAGAAGAGGAAAGGGAAAAATTAAAAGCAAGAAGGAAATTTATGTCACGTTCATTACCTGTTAAATGTTAAGGAGCATTATCCTGCATGAATAAATTATTTCATACAAGCCTGACTCCAGCTGCAGGCAACTGGCAGGCTCCGGCTGATAAAAACCATCTCAAGTCACACAGCACACAATCATAAAAAGCCCCTCTTAACCAGGAGCCACTTAAGGGAGGATGAGGACGATCAATGGAACAAGCAACTAACTGCTTCTCTGAGCATCACAGAACACATTTACGAAAATTAGCAAACTTCTTTCACCTTGCAAAGCCATAGCACAGCCCCAAACCTGACACAACTTCAAATCTTGAGAACCGTACCCAACAGAAACATCTATTTATAGCTACCATTACATAATAAATCAAGGCCAAATCATCCACCTCTGTTTCCTCTTTGTTTTCCCCCTGGCTTCTAGCTATATAGACACTCACTCCCAGACTCATCCTGAATGATTATAGATGATTTCAAAATACACCCTACTCTGGCATAAGGGAATATAAAATGTAATTGACACAAAAGTGTGCACTGGAGTATAAATATTTTCACAGTCTTCTCAGAGTGGGGCAGGAGAGGAGGCTTTTGTTTAGTTCACTGGCCTGCCTAAAGGTATGTATTTATCATAAGAAGGCAGAGAATGTTTATATTATTGGCCCCAGAATAACTAGACAGGCTTTCCAAGGACTGCTATCAGCTAATCCTGGTCAATGCATTTACTTACCACTTCCTAAGTACACATGTGTGGAACACTCAGATCAAAATTGCTTTTTTTAATCTAGGTCCTGATATGCATATTACACAACAAAATACACAACTGTAAAAGCATAATTAAATAATTCAGTGTGTGCAGTTCCAATTGTAAATGTTGACATTTCTATGGGTGTACAGATGCCCTTTCAAATTACAGAGACTCTTGAAGGGTAAAATAGATACACTTAATTTTTATTTTCCATTCTGTAAGGGTTTTGGAAAAAAAAGACAAGGAGTAAAGAGCCGTTCAAAGTGACAGCACAGGTGGTTTCAGGGGGAGATTTTAGTCTTCATTACACATAACTTCATTAAAAACTACAAGAGATGTAACTGCCCATGCTCCAAAACAACTGTTGCAAAATACAAGGAAAAGACTTGACAGCATCTGTGCATTGGCCAAGGCTTGAGAACGGCCTTGTCCTTTTAATCTTTACAAAATACAACACAAATATACAGGCAATTATGCATAACACGGTGGCATATTTACATTGCGCCTGGCTCAAAAGTGATCAAGCAATTTTCATATTTTCCTCATTTCCTGCCGTGGTAGCCTGTTTTTCTTGTTTGCTTACTCTATAAATTCAGGCATCCTTAGCACATCCCATTCTGGTGTTACACAATCACATCCAAATCATTAGGCCCTAAATACTTTTCCTCTTTCCCTACAACTTGTCTGTAAAGAGACAGAGAGGCAGATAAGAGAGATGCAAAACCTAAGAAGAATAACTTGCTATACTGGAAAACAAGATGTTGTTAAATAAATATCTTTCTGGCAGAGAAGAATGCTTTTATGCATTCTGTTAGAGAGTTTTGTAGGATGGAAATGTTTTCTAAAACGAGACTAATGTATATTTCTTATAAATCAAGCTATTTACTTTTCATTATTTATCTTATAGCCAAAGCCTAACTGAAAAAAAAAAAAAAAAGTAGTTATTCTTCCTCACATAGCAAGACATAACAATATAAGCAATGTGAGCCAGATCTTCCATAGTTCCATCCTGGGCTACAAATCCAATTGTGATAGAAAAATGAGACCAGTATTTTCAAAAATCTCAACCACACAACTGAAAGTAGTCAAAAATACAGTTAACCACTAACTGGTAAAGCCCAGCAAATCATTCTGTAAATCTCAAAGAATCCACCACTAGATTGATTCAAATCATTTAGAGACCTTCTAAGCCATTCCTTCATCTGTGAATCTGAGTCCTACCTTGATGGAGTCTCTGTCTATAGGCCAAATAGCAGCAACACAGGCGGTGGGAAAAAGGAAAAAGAAAAGTACCAGTTAGTTTACATAAAATCATACATTTATCAAACTTGATCTCTGCTAAATAATAAATGGCACAGATGTCATCTTTGCAGTAAAGTTAATTATTAATACTGTTCGACCAGATCCACAAAGTGCCAATCTACCTCTGACACAATTTCAGAAACCGAAGCTGGATATTCAGATTATTTACACTCCTTATCGACTTGTCCACTTAAAAAAGTGTTCATAGTCATGCTTCAGCCCGGCTTCATAGCACTAAGAAATATTAGTGTTTCCAACATCGGAGATGGGAAATTTATGTCTGTGATAAAAATCATTTACCCAAGATTATAATTCATGGTAATGACACTGAAACAGGAGTAGATATGAGGTTTTAATTATAACCACACCTTTTAACCAATGAACCACCCATGTGCTAACTAAATTCCCACAAAGGAATGCTGGGAGAGACTTCTTCATTTGCTTTTCTGCCACTGACTAATAAAAATTATTAGTAAGCACCATACAAACATACGGTCACATCAAAATCTCTCTGAACCATTCATATACTTTAATGGAGGGAGGAACCCCATCTAGAAGGAGCACAACTATCCTTTAAAATCAATTATTTGCATGAACAATTGTGTTGTTTTTATAGGAAGAAATGAGTTAATTTCATGCTTCTGTTTTTTTTTTTTTTTTTTAAGATTTTATTTACTTATTTGTCAGAGAGAGCGAGCAAGCACACAAGCAGGGGGAGCAGCAGGCAGATAGAGAAGCAGGCTCCCCGCTGAACAAGGAGCCTGATGCGGGACTTGATCCCAGGACTCTGGGATCATGACCTGAGCCAAAGGCAGATGCTTAACCGACTGAGCCACCCAGGCATCCCTAATTTCATGCTTCTAGACAGCCTGTGTGAGAGAGGTAGTTAAACCAACAGATTTCATTAATTTGGGCTGCACTTTCTCAATTACTAAGACTACTAAAATTGTTTTCTTACCTGAGAGATTTTTACTGCACCATATAGGCTGATCTGATTTATAAATAATAATTGACTGTCAAATTATCAAGTGAGTCTTTATCAGTAAGTCCTTCCCCAAAACAGAATAGGTCAAAATTAGCTATTAACGTCACTCACTATTTCAAACACAGAGAACTGTGGGATTTCATTACTGATTTAGACTTGGGGAACATGGGACGCAGCACAGGATCAAAGGCAATAACCAGGAAACAGGACCCCTTGCCTTTGGGGACTGCATTCACTTTTGCCAACCACTAGGGGATCCTTTGGAAAAAGACTGCTTCCAGTCATTCATTTACCTTCCAGCAGAAATCCTTTGTGTAGTCACAGGGAAAATTAAATCCAGAGACAGAATAAACAACGGCATCCAGAACCCACCCTCAGTGGCAGGCAGGTAACAGCAGACTGACGACATCTCGAGAGAATCACTCACCTCTTTGGTGATCATTGTCATGGTGCTTCTTCTCATCTTTAATTGGCAGGTGGGACTGGCCTCCCAGGGCACTAGAGAGGGCCAGAAGGCCGGCGCTGCTCCCAATGGGTGGAATGGCAGGGGGCTGAAGCCCCGAAGGGTGTGGGGTCAGAGGCACCGGCAGACCATGTCCATGTGATAAATGCTGGGCCTGGAGTTGTTGCTGCTGTGAGGAATGAGACAAAGATATTGAACTTGTTCCCTATACCCGTGCCCCCTTGCAAAAGAAAAGAGGTGCGAAGAGATCCTGGAAAACCCAGCACCCACGAAGGAAAGATTTATCCTTCAGGTACAAATTTTTTAGAAAGGGAGGGAGGGGGAGATGTAGAGTGGAGAAATGTTCCTTTTTCCTTAGATTTGGGGATTTTGCACCATACTGTAAGGAACTTAATTTTTAATAGTGAAATTAGCTAAGTACCTTTTAGTAGCTGAAACTCAGGTTTCTTCAACAAAATGTCTGTATTTTGTTCTCCCAAACATACGGCCTTGCTATCGTACATTTCTAATCAAAACATATACATGACTAACTGTTAAAGCAGTTATGTTGAACAAAAAAAGCTGAAAATTGAGAAAATTAGTGTTAAACAGTTCTCCCAGAACCGCTGCACAGCATGCAGCGGGAGTTAATTTGAAAGAGAAAACCTGAATTAACAACCCAGAAAAGGAAACTGGTTGCAGCCACCGTTTTAAGCCCTTTAAGTGTCCTCAGCGGTACTTGAGCAAATTACTAAAGAAAATCTAATGTAGCAAGGCTGGGGTCCTCCTGTAGGCTTGCTCAATAATGCTGAAATAATTGGGCACTCTGTGCACGTTTAGTGATGCTCGAATGGAAAGCTAGAGGCCTGCCCTCGCACTCTTCTCCAGCGGCCGCCTCTGTGTTGTGACAGGTTTATCTGAGTGGGACTGTGATGCATGAACCGGTAACTGTGCTGACAAGAGTTTAAAGTCATTTTCCCCAGCACACTGGCAACACATGGAGAAAGCCCTCGAGAGGCTGGAATGGGAGTGCTTGACCTCAGCAGAGGCCGCATCACGCTCAGCTACAGGAACTGCTCTGGGCAGGCCTTGCTGCCACCACCGGGTGCAGAGGAGGAGGGGGAGGTGACGGAAGGACTCGAAGTTAAATATGTCCCTCCACAGGCACCCCCTTCCACTGGAGACCCTGCCTAATGGTGTTCCAGGAGAACAAGTGCTGAGGAATTTGCAGACTGGCTTTTGTAGTGATTACATTTTAATTAATGCCTCCAAGTGAATCACTTGTCAGATCTATCCTATGATAGCCCAACAGTCTTCTAGGATCTTCCCAAGTAGGACTGTGGATGCTGCTCCCCTTCACTGATAAAAAGGATCTTGAAATGCCTTTTTTTATATTTAAAGAAAATACTTCAAAGAAAGAAGTGAATTATTTTTTCTCCTCCCCCAAATCACTTTTATTTCCTTCCTCTTCCCCTCTACCCATCGTCTTCCTGTGTCTGACTATAAAAGTCAAATTACAGCACTAATTAGCTCTTTTCTCCAATTGACCTGCAAGTATTTTCTGGACTTAAAATATAGCCAATAAAGTACTAACATGCGCTTAAAATATAGCCAATAAAGTACTAACACTTTTTTTTTTAAAGTACTAACACTTTTAAAGAAAGTTCACATATATAAAATCGAAAAATCGGAGCAGTGATCCAGATATTCCACCAACCAACGCCCACCCTACAGTCCTGCAAAGCACTACCTAACTGGGTAATTCAACGCTGTGTATTTCTCCTTTTGAGGAGCCAAAATCATGCTCATAGTTCTTTATGTACTGTAACTTAGTTGTGACCAAAAGTATGAGCACACGATCATATTTTCTAAACGAAAATAACATCTATGAAGAAAACAAGGCCTTTAGGTAAATATATGGCAAATTTATTTCAAAACCTTATTCAACTGCAATCACCAGAAACTGCTCCACTTCCCTTCCTCCTCTAAATCTCCTAATACTTCATGTGTATGGGTTGGGCCTATAGCCACTTTGTACCTCAGATCAGAGTTTAATTGGCGGACATTTATTAAGAGCCGGCAAATGTGTCTCTCTTATCACCCTTCCTAGACTCTAAGCTCTGTGAGTCTACATCTGACGCAAACCCTAGCTACCTGCAGGCACTGAGACTCAGAATACCTGGGCAATTCCAAAATATGTACATCGATTTCATTAGACATTAAAAAATAAAAGACTCAGCCAAAAACAATAGCTTCAATGATCCAGGTGTTTCACTTCTATTTTTCTCTCTCAGGACACAAAATAAGCACTATCACCTTCATTTTTCTACCCAACCAGGAACATTTCAAAGGCAGAAAAGATAACCCGAGTCTGCTGCACACATGCCATTCACAGTAGAGACTTCCCGAGACCTCACTATCCCACCTCAAAGTAGCTCTGACACCAGCTTCTCCTCTTCTCCCCATCTGTCCATCTTTGAGGAAGGAGGGCCCCTTTTCCTTTCTGAGGCCAAGACTCTTCCCTGCCTACACAGGCTGTGTCAGCTGTCCATCCCTCTTCCTTTCAATGCTGTTGATTCTCCAGGGCTCTCCCCCACCTTCAGCGGTTCTGTCACTGATTCTGTCCTTCTGCTAGCCAGCTGGATACCAGCAGCCCTAGGGTTTTGTTTAAGATGAATTGCCTAGTGAACGCCAAAAGAACCTGGGGTAGCACTTTTTCAAGAGGGAAAAAACACTGTATTTTAATCACTTTTTGTGTCCTCCACTGCCCCTAACACAGTGCCCTGCACATAATTGGCACTTGATAAATGTTTGTTAAATTTAATTAAAATAACCTTCTTTTGCCCTCTTCAGCTACTGGCCTGTATATATACATATATATATATATGTATATATACACACACACACGTATATATATCCTTGACCTTGCAGAGCCAAACTTCTCTAAACACTAGTGTAAATTTGCTCTCTCCACTTCTCAGGAAGACACACACACACACACACACACACACACTCTTCCTCTTTAACCCCCTATAATCTGGATTCCAGACCCATCCTTCTCATGAAACTGATGACCACCCAGACAGCAATTAGTTCAAGATTTTACAATTTCCTCTCTGACATCCATGCAGCCATAGACAGTATATCCTCCTTGTTGAAACTTTCCTCTACCTGCTTCAGGAATACCACAATGATCCCCAAGGCCTCTCTTTACCCATCTGAATGCTCTGCCATTAGCTTTCCTTCTTGGTTTTTTCTTCTCCTGCTCACTAAAGAGGAACAGTCCTTAACTTTTTGCTCCTCTCCCACGCTCTGATAGCCCTGGTCTAACTTCTTGCCAGCCAATTCTACTTGGCAGCCCAGCATTACGTTAAAACAAAAATGTTTAACACAAATGCCCTAGGTAACTTCTGCTGGCTCAGGTTAACCAGCTGCCATTGATTTTCTTCTGTGCTCCTACACCCTTAATCACCAAATCCGATCAATTCTCAATTCCTTGTATTTCTACCACCACCATACCCATCAGACCCTTATCACACTTTGATTACAGCAAGCCTCCATTAGCTCCCCTGAATTTCAATGAATTCCCATTCTGCGTCACCACTGGCATGTCACCTCCCATCTCTTGAAACCACCTCACCCTTACCTATAAGCTGTTAAGTCATCCACCCCAGCTCACCTCATGTTCCAACCATTCTGCAAAGGCCTCTCAAACATCCCATGTGTCTGCTATTGCACAGGATTCCCTGTATCATTCACTGGCACAGGCTGCCTTGTAAAGGTACTGTTATTCATCTTTTTATGGCTAAGACGACCTCGGACTTGCCAGCAAGACTGTGAGGTTTTGGAGAGAAGAGACCAGCCTCTAGCCTCTGCAACCCTGGCACCTAACTCCCCACTATTCAGTCATATGTATTTAGTCATACACTTAAAGCTTTTGATAAATTTCCACTAAATATGAAGAGAGTTCCTATATACCCCTCACCTGGCTTCCATTAAAGTTAATATCTTACATAACCACAGAAATTATCAAAATTAAAATACTAACATAGTGCATTACTATTAATCAAACTACAGACTTTATTCAGATTTCTCTAGTTTTTCCACTAATGCCATTTTTCTGTCCTAGGATGCCACACTGCATTGAGAAGTTTTAATGTTTCACATGTTATTATACCAAAATTATAAAGCCCTTTTATAGATCTTAAGAATGGCAACATCCAAATTACAGTCACGCTGGTGAATAGAATATGCTTTGAACTTAGGAGAGAAAAAAAGAATGAGAAGATATGAGCCCATTTCACAGGTCATCCACTATACATACAAAATATCAAACAAAAAAAGCATACTCAGTAGGACACCTGGTAGAAAGGAGTAATCTTTATCAAGTATTTAAAATACAAAATTATAAAATAAGAATGCAATTAAGTAAGTCACCAAAAGATATATGACAAAAATGTAAAACAGATATGCAGAAATAATTTAGTATGTTTTAAAATGTTTACATCAATCAAACAGACTACTTTCTGTATTAGGTGGTCATTTTTAAGCTTCTTTGGAAGTTCACACTTAGAAACTATCCTAGAAATAGAATGCCAGATGCACACTGATAATGACTCCTGATTAGTCAATGAAACAAACATATAAGACGCCATCTTCTTTAAATAAAAGCAGTGAGTCACCAACAAATCAACTGAACCCCACCCTTTCCTTGATTAAAAAATAAAATGGCTTCAATCTATCAAATTTCAAGTAACATTCAAGAATTCAACACAAAAAAGAATCTCTGTCAAGTCTTCTCATCGACAGAGGAAAACTCAAAGCAGTTTTCCAGGGAGAGAACGCCGTTTCACTGGCTATTATTCCAGAAGCTGAGAGTACCATAACTTAACGGACTGCCCTACAACACAAGGCAAGCTTGCTGAGGTTGCCCCATGGCGTCCTCTGTCCTCTGGCCTCTGCCCCATCCGTGTTAATTACAGAGCAATTAACCTGCAAGGTTTACTACTTTATGCTACTACAGTCATGCTAAGAAAGGTAAAACTTCTTGCTTTTAAAAGACGGAAGGAAAGGAAATATATATTAACAGTACATGGTTCAACACTGACTTGTTACTAAAATAAGACAAATCACCATCTAATTATATAAATAAGCAAGTTAAAAAATGATGACTTTATAAGAAAAAAA